TTACCACTGTCTGTGTGTGTGTGTGTGTGTGTGTGTGTGTGTGTGTGTGTGTGCACACGTGCGTGTGAGTGAGGAAGGAAGGGAAGGAGGGAGAGAGGGAGGGAGGGAGGGAAGGAGGGAGGAAGGAAGGAGGAGGATGGAGTGGTTGGATGTCTGGGTAGAAAATGGATGAATAGATAAGTGAATGAGTAGGTTGGTGAATAGGTAGGTGAAAGAGCAGATGAGCGGGTTAGGGACGCATAGAAGGAATAAGTGAACAGATTAGTGGGACACCAAACACAATGGGACTAAATTTTCTTCCATTTGGAAGATCTCTGAGTCTCCCTCAAATTCAGTGCCCATCTCCAATCTCCCTCCACTCCTCTACCATCCTTCTCCCAAAAAGACATACTTAAGAGGGACCATTCATATGCATCTTAGATGCCTGAGCATCTAAGAAATTCTGCAGGGCAAAATTCTAAAGAGCCCTTAGGCAAGCACTGAATTACAGATCTGGAAGTCAAGGGCCCAGGTACTTTAGTTATCTGGTTTATTTAATAATTTTCAGAACATTATACAATTCTTTCTAAACCTAACCCTCTATCCCCCATAAGCCTGTAGACTTGCAAAGACCCTGAGCTGTCAGGATGCTCAGCTGGGTGTCCTGGCACTCTATCTTCTTATAAGTACCCACTTTTCAGGAAGAAGGCTGCCTGAGCTCAAACCGTGTCTGGCTTCCCAGTATCATCTGCCACTCTCAAGGCAGTGTGTTGAGCTCTGTGAAGCCTGTCCCTACTTGCTTGTTGTCCTTATAGCTTTGGTGGAGTTGTCCCTTCTTGCTACCTGTCAGTGGTGCTGGAAGGGGCTGAGGTGGCTGGACCTGCTGCCTTCCCTCAGATGGTACTGACTGGGAGATGCCTAGCCTGATCTAGAACCCATACCCCAGGGCAGGGGCAAGGGAGTTCTAGTGGCTTCTCAGTGCAAGCGGTGGCTCTGACTGGTACCAGCCTGTTAACCAAGGGGGCATTCTGTGAAGAAGACATGACAGTCCCACAGAGCCCACAGGGGAACCAGCAACTCCTCACAGCCAGGCCAGGCAGGCCAGTCTTTCACGGTGCCCTCATTTATCAAATAATTTTCCTCCACAGCTGATGCACTCCATAGGTCCGCCTAACCCCAGGAACACCCCCTCCCAAAAAATGCAGCGTCATTCCCTTTCTCTTATTCCCCTGTACTCATACCCTGCAATGGCCCCATTTCTCCTCCCAAGCTCCCATCACCCCAGAGAAATCTCTGACACCCTCAGGAATTTCATCACGAAAGATCCAAGAACAGTCTTGGCAAGAAGGTTGAGGGAAGGAAAACTGCAGGTACAGGTAGGACCCTTCTGAAGACAAGAGTGTGGCTGGGAACACACATGGTATATGTGCCCTGATACCCCAATAAAACCATTGCTAAACTCTAAGGGATGTCCACCTCCAAGCCCCTGCTGGTTCTTTCTTAGGCCAGCCACCCCGCTCCCACTCACAATCCCAGGACATCTCCCTGGTTCTTCCCTCCCGGCAACACCAAAGGTAATATCAATGCTCTAGATCCTCTTCTTGCTGCCCCCACAGTGTGATGGCTCTGGAAAAGGCCACGGTGGCCACCTTCAAAGTCTTTGCCTGCACTGTTGGAGCCTGCAAGCCCCACCCTATCACCCCACCCCCACCCCCACCCCCAGGGCTGGTACTGACTCTGAGAGCTAAGATTCTATCTCTCAGGGTGACAGGAGACTGCTGACCAGCTTGGCCCTGCCTCACTTCTCCTCCTCAGAAGACCCCTCCCTCCAGCCTGAGGTCTGAGCTGGCAGGACAAGCCTCCCCTTGGCCAGGGTGGCTAATAGGCATGTGGGGCCTCTACAGCCCTGAGGTAAGAGGGCTATATGGCAACTTGGTGCATAGTAGACCAAGGCACACTTTCCTCAATACATATCTGCTGGAAACTGTCATATTCAGAAGCTGCAGCCCTGGACCAGGAAGAACTCTTCAGGCCTTCCCTCACCCAGATAAACAGTCAGGAAGAGCCAAGCCAGGCAGGGCTAGGAGGAGCTGGAGGCTCAGCCACTGGGCCTACAAGGGCTGAGCTGGTGCTCACCTGCTAGGGTGGGCTGAAAAGTGGACCAAGAGCCTGGGATGCCCTCTGCGACTTCCCACTTTGAGAAAGCCTGGATTCTCTTGCAGATTGAACAGGAAGGCGTATCAGTGAAAGGCAGCCCCCATTTCAACCCAGACCCCGATGCAGAGACCCTCTACAAAGCCATGAAGGGGATCGGTGAGTGGGCATCTGTGGCCTCGCCCCAGGAATGCTATGACTCTCTGGGGCTCTGCCTGCTGCACTCAAGACCCCTCTGCTCACAGCCCTGGAGAGGAGATGCCAGGGACAGCCCAGGAGTTGGGTCTTCCCAAAACCCTCTGAGACTGACTTCCAGCACCCAGAAAATCACAAAGGTCCTACCTTCCCCAGCACTGGTCTATACACACTCCCAAGGCGGAATAGGGGGAGGGCGGTTGTGCCTACTTGAGTAATGGGATTGGTGGGGAGAGGAGCATCTGCTGCATGTGCCTGCCTGTCCTTGTGCAGGCAACTTCACCCAACTCAGTCTGAGCTTTCTCACTCATAAATGACTTCAAGATCTCTAGACCCTGCATGTCACTATAAAAGTTGAATGGGATGATGTTGGAAGTTTTATGGGGCTGAACGAGGCCCAGAAGGCAACAGCACACAGGTTCTGCAGCTTTTCCCCTGCCCCACTTCCCCTGGCCAGAGAGCAGCCTCCTGCCCATCTCTAGTATCTGCATTCCTATACATAGGAAATTCCTGTGATCAGGGAGATTTGGACAGCCTAGCCCCAAAAGCCCTAATGCCATCACCCCAGGTGGGATTTACCCCCTAACTGGTTCTGACAATAAATTGAGACATCATCAAGAGCTACCATTCCTAGACAAGCCTAGATAGCATGTTTGTGTCCTCTGTTTCCTGTGTTATTTCTACTTCTCAAAGGAGAAAGCAGAAGCTCATAGAGGTGATACAGAGATGATGCAGTTTGCTACTGGGATACTGGACCAGGACTCAGATCTGGTTTTCTGGACCCTTAGTCCCGACCTTTCCCCAATGCCACCAACATAAGTGAGGTCAGAACAGGAGGTCTCGCTGATAAAGCTAAAGGCCCCAGGCAATATCTAGAGCAGATCATACGGGGCTAGGCAATGGAAGTGAGGAATGGACAGATGGATTTTCTGTCTAGCTGTCTTCTCTATACTGAGAATCACCAGGTTTTGAAGCTACCCAGGAGGTATGTTCCCCAGTGCTTTGCCACCAAGTGGCTGCCCTCCCTCTTCTCCAGTCCTCATCAGCCCCCTTGGGGGCAGTGAGGGTGCTCAAGCTATACACCCCTGCAGGGACCAATGAGCAGGCCATCATCGATGTGCTCACAAGGAGAAGCAGCACACAGCGGCAGCAGATTGCCAAGTCCTTCAAAGCTCAGTTCGGCAAGGTAATGGGGACACTGGCAGGGTGGAGGAGGCGTAGGGTTAATGAGGGGCTGGGGAACTGTGGCTGCCAGAGACAGCCTGAAAGGGAGGTCCATGATGGATGAGCTCCATCTCTGGAGGCCAGCCCACTGTAAACACGTGGCATATGGAACATACTTGTCAACAGAAAGAACCCGAATCTTTGAAAATATTAGATTGTTATCTAGGGCCTTGCTCAAGGGAGGAAGAGCAGAGCCTCAAGAAGCTTTAAAACAGTGCTCTAACTTCAGGAAAGTGGGAGGTGCTTCTGTAGACAGAAGAGTAAGTGAAAAGTGCATCTGATGCATTTGAAGTTTCAATTAGGGTACATACAGTTAGACGTCAAATGGAAGGAATGTGTAGAAAAGATAAGATTGAATTGTTGTGCCCACTGGCATCGGAAAGTTTTAATTAGGATCTGGAAACAATTAAATTACTTTAAAATTGTTTAAGGTGATTTTTATCAGGATGTAAAAAAGAACAAATACTGTTATCTATATCATTGATCTTTTGTGTTGAAAATGTGTAAGTCATATACCTGATTATCCCCCATGGTTCATGCCTTAGAAAGAAATTTTTGGAAAATTCATCATTCTCTCTTGATTACTGATTAAATCAGAGAAGCTGAAGCACCATTTCCTTTCTCATATTTATACTAAAAAAGAGATGCATTATTTATCTGAAATTCAAATTTAACTAACCATCCTGTAATTTATCTGAAAAACTACTTATGGCTCCCCACACCCTGCCTTGGTGTCCAGTCTTCTGAAGTCTGGCCCACCTCCCTTTTCCAGCTTCTCACTCACTTCACTCCTTCATGTTTTCTCCAGGACCCCATCCTTGAGCTATTTCCCTGCCTCTATGCTTTGCCTGTCCTGTCCCTTAGCCAGGAACGCCCTTAATTTTCTCATGCGCTGTGTGAGAGAGGGAAGACACAGGTGGAGCTCTGCTCTATCCTGGGGCATGAGCAGTCTCATGTTGAAGTTTCCTCCTCACAGAAACTAGAAGGGCAGAGAGCCCTCAGCTTGAATCTTTTTCTCTCCTCCCACCTTCTACCTCCCTCAGGATGGAGACAGGCATTGGAGTGCTAGGTAAACACAGAAATAGATGCTTGCACAGCCATGGTTGCCATAAGCCTCCTCCATCAGTACACATTGTTAGTTTAGAGATTTAACAAAGGGCGATGAGTGATAAAGCCCAAATAGTCCATGGAAGAAATCAATGAGCATACTTTTTAACAAAAGAGGAAAATGATGTTCTAAAAGGTTAAGTTGCCCAAGATCCCAGAGTCTGTGAGCAACAAGGCTGGGACCTAAATCTAGGTCTCACAAGGCCTGTGTTCCTTTGCTGTGTTGTGCAGAGATCATCTAGGTGTGGCCTTATGGCTTCTTGTAGAAAGCACCCTTAGAAAAGGACACGTGAGAAAAATTCCTTAATCCATTCATGCATTTATTGAGTACCTATGAGCTAAGTGACAAGAGCTTGATGGTAAGCAATGACAAACTTGTACTTCGGGCTTTTGATATGCCCAGTACTATACTGAGAGCTGAGTCGAGCCACAAGCATCTCTCCACCAATCCCCTAAGCAGTGATATAAAGCAGAAGTACCATTATCTTCATTTCTCAGGTAAGTGTAGTGATGTCTAGAGAAGCTAAGTTGCTGGCCCAAGAAATCCCAGCCAGGACCAGCACATGGCAGAAGCCATGTGGGAATCTAGCCAGAGCCGCTGGGCACAACCACCATCCTGCTGCCTGCACATGGATGAGTGCAGCATGTAGATCATCACCCTTCCTTGTTCCTGTATTAGGATCTCACTGAGACCTTGAAGTCAGAGCTTAGTGGCAAGTTTGAGAAACTCATGGTGGCCCTCATGTACCCACAATACAGATACGAGGCCAAGGAGCTGCATGACGCCATGAAGGTAACTAAGCAACGGAGTGGGGGCAGAAATGCTTATGAGGACTGGGTAGGGGAGCAATGCCTGGGACTCCTTTCCTAGGAGAGCTTGGCGCTGGGAGCTCTGAGCTCCCCTTCAGTCACCATTTGGAGTAGTCACCTGGGCCCTGGCTGAGAGTAGCAAGCTTCCAGCCTGATGCTCAGACTGCCACCAAACATGGGACTGACCAGCATCTGCTGCCCCATGGCCATGATGAAGCCAAAATCAGTAATTCTGAGGATATCATTAAACCAGGTGTGTAGGAACTGGAAACTAGCCTCTGTAGTCTCATGCCTGGTCCCTCGATTGCCCATTATTTCCCACCACTCCTTTTGCATTTGCCGATGACTAAGAGAGAATCAAGCATCTTGACTAAAGAGGGTGTGAACAGTCAGAAGGGCCCAGGCAGAGCTCTCCAGCATACTGAGGTTATTATCCACAGGGTTTAGGGACCAAGGAGGGTGTCATCATCGAAATCCTGGCTTCTCGGACCAAGAAACAATTGCAAGAGATAATGAAGGCATATGAGGAGGGTAAGGAACCTGCAAAGAGGAAGGGTGCAGAACCTGAGGTAAAGGCTCACTTGGGAATGGCCACAATTTTTGGCAGCCTGGTAGGAGACAAGGAACAATCAGTGTACTAGGCCACGTTGGATTGGGCCCTGTCTGGGCTTTTCCACACGTGGTGCTAAGCATCTACTGTGTGCCAAGTCCTGTGCCTAATGATGAGACTAGAAGTAACTCAGGTGGATCTCTAAGCTCCCTAAGCCCATGGGCTGCTGGGAGAAAAGGCATGGACCCACTAAATTCTCTGCCCCTTGAGGGCATGGTAGCACTGTAGACTATGGGCTATGTTAGTGGCTGGGGCAGGCTCCTCCTTTCTGGGCACAGGCTAACTCAGGGCTCTATTGCACTGGAGGAAAAGGAGGTAGTTGTGGACTACAGGCCAGCTATCAGGGAGTCTACAAGATGCAAGGCATACTGAGGCCAGCCTGTCCTCCACAAGGAACCATCTGCCAAAAAAGAGGCTCTGGCTTTGACAAACAGCAAAATGAAACAGAGCTCAGTCAACAGCCAGGGCCGGGCTCTCTGTCCTGGCCTACCTTTGTTCTTCAACCTAGGTTGGCAGTCTGTTTCATTTCTTACTTCTTAACAATCATCAAGTGATGGAGCCTCTGCCACTCAGACACCTGGGCAGTGTCCACTCTTCATGTCAAGGACTTGTCCTTCTTGGAAGGCTTTAATCAAGAGAAGTGTGGGAGACAGGGCCAGGGGGAGGAAATCAGGCCATGGGGAGAGGAAAGCAAGACTGCTCTATGGTCCTGTTTCCCCTACAGACTATGGGACCAGCCTAGAGGAAGACATCCAAGCAGACACCAGCGGCTACTTGGAGAGGATCCTGGTATGCCTCCTGCAGGTATTACAGCCCAGGCTCTTGGAATCCCCTTGTCTGGGAGATTCCAAAGCTCCACCCCAGAGAGCAGCTCTTAAATAACTACTAAAGGGGGGTGAAGAGGGGGTGGGGACAGGGGTGGGGTACAGCCCCAGCGGCCGGTGCCCTCTAGAGATGTGTTAGTGTGGTTGGAGGGTTCTCACTGCAGAGCCCCCATACCTCTTCTAATGTAGCCACATGAGGGAACCCAGAAGTAGGAGGAGAGTGCCCAATCAACAAGCAGGTCTTCACATCAGGCTCCATGCCAGGTACTTTGCTTACCTTAGCTCACTGCATCCCCCAACTCCCTAAGAGGTGGTCCTTACTACTCTCATTTTACACATGAAGAAAATGAGCTTCAGATATAATAACTGACTTGCTGAAGTTCTCATGGCCAAAAAGCAGCAGAGGTCTGCCTGCCCTCCTGCCCAGCTATCCCCTCTGCTCCAGCTTCTCTGGTCAGCCAGCTGACCTCATGGGGCTGCCTCTTCTGTTCTTAGGGCAGCAGGGATGATGTGAGTGGTTTTGTGGACCCAGGACTGGCTCTTCAAGATGCACAGGTGAGGCTACGCCCTCAGCAACTTCTGCCTTGTACCCAACCTCTGCCATCTAGACTCCAGGGACAGATCCCTGGCATCCTCACCCAACCCTTCTACTCATGGGGATTTTCTTTGATGCTAATCTGGCACCCAGTTCAGCTCTCTGCAAGCCTTTACCCTCTGGTATCTGAGGAGGACAGTGAGGGTGTTGTGGAGACTCAGGAACAGGAAAGAGATGGTGTCTGCTGAAGATCTATCCTGTCAAGATCAGCCCACAAACCTGGGCCTCTGAGGACCAGATGTGTATATTCAGCTCTTTATAGGTCTGGCTGCTGGCAGAGTGGTTGGAGGTACCCAGAGGCAGAGCAAAGCCTCATGGTGGAGGGACTTCTTAGAGTAGCTCCTGGCCTGATTCTTGAGAGAAGAATTTAACCACTTGGAAATAGTGAGCTCCTTATCAAAGAGAGGATAAAACAGAGAATGTCAACCTGGCAGTTGGATAGGGGCTGTCCCTTATCTCCTTGCTCTCCTTCACTGGCTTGTTGTGGGTGTCCCAATACCAGGATCTCTATGCAGCAGGCGAGAAGATTCAAGGGACCGATGAGATGAAATTCATTACCATCCTGTGCACACGCAGTGCCACACACCTGATGAGAGGTACCAGGAAGGGTGGGAGGAGGAAGTGTCAGGGCCACAGAGGGGTCCCTGGCCACAAGGCTTCTCCCTTCATGCTGAATGTCCAGTGTGTAGCCTTGTCAAGTCCTGGAGTTGGGGAGAGAGCCAAAAAGTCCTGGTCCAAGTGGAGGTCAGGGGTGGCACACTAATGTGCAGTCTCTGATCTGGGTGTCTAGGAACATCATGCTGAGATCCACATGTCTCCTAAGAGAAACCCTCTCTCCACAGTATTTGAGGAATATGAAAAAATAGCCAACAAGAGCATTGAAGACAGCATCAAGAATGAGACCCATGGCTCGCTGGAGGAGGCCATGCTCACAGTGGGTAAGACACAAAGTTCGGTCCTGTGTCTGCAGTGGGGCAGTGCCCAGGGCTGTCATAGTAAGCAACTAGGTCTTTATATTTATCTTTAGGAGACTCCCACCCACCCACCTCACACTCTCACCATGTTCCCTTCACTTTAGCAATTGTACCCAGTGTCTTCAGTGTGCTATGTTCTGCCATTGGTTGTTCGCTGTGCTGCTCATGTAGTGTCCATGCTGTGTGAGTATGTGAGTGTATGTGAGTGTGTGAATGTGTGTGCATATGCACACATTTGCAGAATTTGCCAGACCCCAGGCCTGTGCTCACTCTCAGCAGCCACACAGAGAACATTCTGGTTATGATTGTAAAGCCCTAAAGAAAGTTACCTATGTGGACCTTAGCCAAGGACCTATGTCTGCCTCAGTCTGAAGAAATTATGAGGTGTAGTTGGAGTCTAAAGTGAGTGATTAGTGGTCAAGAGCACATTTTGGGGTCCAAAGCTGAGATCGTGGTAAGACAAGTCATTGTAGAGAGAAGAGAGAGGCCCAGGGACAGTGGAATTTTTCCTCTCCTCCCTCCGACTATGGAGTCAAGGTCAGAGTCTCAGGGCTGGGACACTCAGCTCTACACCAGGCTGTCCTCATTTAGTGCCAAGCAGACAGAGGACTTCTATGATGTATCTGGATCTCTAGGGGTAGACCAGAACATCTGATACTCCCCAGCTGGCTCGGACTGCTGTGATAAAATCCAATCTATGTCAGAGCAACTAAGCATGCCCCCTGCTCTAATCTCAGCTTCCAATTCATGCCCTGGATCTGGTTTGAACAACCTCCTGAATAAATCTTTAGGCAGGGAAAAGTGAAAGTGTACAGTGCTCTACTGTGCTAAGTACTTCCTATCCATTTCTCCTTGAAGACTCACATCATCCACTTCACAGAGGAGGACAGAGAGGTCAAATAATGCAGTCACACAGTGTCATCAAGGTAGAATTACTTGAACACCTACTTACTTCATAGCCCATGCTATTTCTAGTGCCCTGAACTAAAACATCAGCTTACTTCACCCAAATGCTGTGTCTCTGAAAGCAAACATGGGGCCCCTCTCTGGGCCAGATGCCCCTGGGTGCATTAGTGCTCCAGGGCTGAGCCCACTTATCACACGAAAATTCAAACGCAGGGGCCTTGCTAATAAGTGACATGTGAAGTGGGTCTCTGAGGCCAGTGGTCACTATAACTATGGCTCCTCTGTCAAACTGAGTGGCTGGATTCTTGACAGAGATGCCTCTGTAGTGTGAGAACCCAGGGGCTTCCCTGGGCAGAGCCGTGTTCTGATGGACCAGCCCTGCAGGCTCCAGTGCATTTCACACCTCATCCTTTTGCCTGCCAGCTCTGGGCCTTTGTACTTGTGCCCAGTGACCCAGGCTCCCTTCCCTGTCCCACCCTGTCTGACACAAAGCCTCTAATTTTGGAACTAGTGAAGGCACAAATAAATAGGCCAAGACTTGCATAATGTCGACCCTTAAGACCCGAGACAAGACATAAACAAACAAATACACAATGCTGCCTACCACCTAGAGTTGTTAACAGAGCTTTCCTGTTTTCAGTGAAATGCACCCGGAACCTCCACAGCTACTTTGCAGAACGTCTTTACTATGCTATGAAGGTAACTGTTCTGAATTCTGCCACCTTACTTTTAGCCCTGTGCACAACCAACTGCAAAGCCAGATTGCTTAGAGCCACCACCATCTTCTAAGAGAAGACTTTTGGGTCTTCTCTTATCCCCACCTCTTGTGATCATACAGTTTTAGTTCTCAGAGGGTAAACTGAGTCTGGGGAAGGGAAGCCACATCTCCTGAAAGCTGCATTTGAGCAGGGGCTTTCACAAGTGTTCATTGCACTGAACTCAACAACAATTCTATGAAGCCCAAGTCGTAAATGCCATCCTAGAAATGATGAAACTAAGACTTGTGGTCAAAGTCACACAGTTGGTAAGTGTCAGAGTCTTGATTTGAGCCCAAACCTGTCCAATTGTCCTTTTTATCTCACCATGTGGCCTCCTTGAGTTCACAGGCCAGGATTTCCAGGAAGTCATGGAACCCTTTGCATTCAAGATGGAGACTGACACACATAGCAACTCAATTTTCCTGCATGTGCTTGGGTGCCAATCTGGATTTGCCTGTGATCCAATAGGCTGCACTAGCCAAAGATGTCCAAGCCACTAGTATCAGAGGGAGTTTCTGGTATCTGGAACCAAACTGAGATATAAACAGTCAAATTAATTCCCCAAGACAAAAGTCAGTGGCCACCTTCTCTGATTTATGGTTGCTGACACCACTTGAAGTCAGAACACCAAGCTCTCCTGGCAGGAAATGAGAGCAGCCAAGAGCTTTCTTTGTTCTTGTGGCTCTGTATGACATGAGACTAGTCAAGGATAAAAGTGAGCAGGAAGATGCTGTTTGTGAATTAGCAAGTTAAGCTGAATTTCATAATGTTGCTGCCCTCGGGGGAAGTCTTATTTCTGGAGCAGTGAGTATTTTGTATCTAGAATCTCATATGGCAAACCAAACATTGCAATTTGGAGCATTTGGCTTCTGATAAGGGAGGAGATGTGAGCAGTGAGGGAGAAGAGATTAAGAGAATGGAAACCCTAAGCCATGAATACATCCCTCTTAGTGTTTCACCTGCTGAAGCAGGCTCATTCCTGTGAAAGCCCCTGGACTCTACAGCACAGATTTGTCCATCATCACACAAATGGACTGGAAAAGTAAAAAGTGATCCTTGATTGCTGTGTCTTAACCAGGGAGCAGGGACACGCGATGGGACCCTGATAAGAAACATCGTTTCAAGGAGTGAGATTGACTTAAATCTTATCAAGTGTCAGTTCCAGAAAATGTATGGCAAGACCCTCAGCAGCATGATCATGGTAAGCCATGAGTTTCCAATTCTCACACCAGTTTGAAACGGAGACATTACTGGGATACCTGGGTGCTGTGACCAATGTCATAAGTCACATATGTTCATCCCTTCCTTCCCAGTGAGCATCACACTCTTGCATTCATTGCCACATGGTATGTAGAGAGATCAGCAACAAGTTCAATGTAGCTAGCAAGGGTCTGAAGGGGAGCACAGGAGGCAAGCAGAGAGCAGATGATTGAGTCCCCTGTACATGGCACCCAGAAAGCTGGCTCTGCATTTGAGTTATTGCCCCCATTGAAAATGACACATCAAATCCTTGCTGAAGGAACCATATCTGAAGAGTCAATAAAAGTAAATAGTTTAGCAGGAATTGAGGTGTAGCATTTAAATCTAAATTTAAGTAGTCCTGGCAGTAAAATTTTAAGGAGATAAATCGGATGGGCTCCAGTGGATTACTTAACCAGATTTCAGTTAGTGAAAATTCTGGAGCCGAGAAAATGCAGAGTGATTATCACTGCGCTGTAACTTTGAGAGAAATAGCTCTTTTAGACATTAATGCACATTGAGGCTTTGACAATTTCATTAACAGAAGTCAAATCATGAAAAATGTATCCTGAGTCTTCATTGGCTAGTAAGTCAAGTCTCTAGTTATTCTACAAATGTCTATTGTTGACTGCACTTTCTAAGAAACACATAGTTTACAACATGTTAAAAAGACATTCTGCTTTAAGATGTTTCAGAATAGAGTAGTAGATAGGCCGGGTAAAGGAGGATGGAATTATTCTTCATTTGGTTTAGGCCTTCCAGCCAGTCTTGCCAAGAACAGGAGAGCTAGGCACAAACCAGCTAGTGCAGTATCACCTACAGAATGACTTTCCCAACATACAGTTCCAGCTGAGTATCATGAATTCCTTTAACCATACATGGTATCTGTGATGTAGAGGACATTTCTATTCCTTTTCACCATTCCAGTTAGATGGAGCCACCACTATCAGCCACCATCAGAAGAACAAAAGCACTGCTGAGTCAAAATGATCACTTTGACCCATCTAAGATATCAGCCTCATGATGGAGATACACTTAGCAGGCTAATTAGTGCATAATCATTATTATAGCCCCTTATCTAGACATACATGAAGCCCATCCTCAGATTTTGCCTAAATTTGTCATTTAAGAAAATTTAGTCAGTATTGTGAAAAGTTGGCCAAATATTTTCTTTTTAGTTTAGATCACTCTCTGTAGATGTCATTAAAACAAAAACGGTTTCCAATAGTGATACTAGCATTAAAAACTCCTACATAGAAATTTATAGATAAATGTATAAAAACCCACATATAACTTTATACCCATACATTTGAAAAGATAGACAGAATGAATATATATATATAACAAAAACTTTTGTAAGTAGTAAAAAATAATAATTTAAATTGTGGTTAAAAATCTACAAGAATATTTCAGGCCCTAATGACTTTACAAGCAAATTTAACTAATCAGTTAAGGAACAGATAATTTCCATGAGACATAAACTGCTATAGAGCATAGAAAAGTGGCACTAGCTCCCAGCCATACTACTTAATCAGTGAGTGGCCTTGGATAAATCCAGTATCCTCTTTAGGTCCCATTTCCCTCAACTACATCAGAACAGAGTTGGATGATATGCCCTTTCCTGACCCCTGGCTCTGTATGCAGATCCTTTACTAGCCAGTTCTAGCAGAACCTGTGTAATAGCGAAGGGGACTGGTAGGCCACAGAAATGGTCTTCAACCGTTGGACCTATGGGGTCTATCCTATTGGGAGATGAATGTCATTTGACTCTTATATGAGCCAGCCTCTGTGCAGGCAAGCTCGCCTTTCTCCCGCTATTTACTCCATACCACATCTCAACAAGGTTCATATCATCATCATTTGTAGATAAGAGGACAAGTCTCAGAGTGATGAAGGGACTTGCTTCAGCCACAGGATCAATGAGTGACAGAGCCATGGTCCAGGTTCTGGTACGCCCAGAGAGAGCCCAAGCTCTCGCCATCACACCTCCAGGTGTGTCAGTGGGCATCCTGCTTTGAGCCTTGGTTTCCTTATCTGCAATAAATGTTGAATAAAATGGGTCATGTTGGAGAAATGAATGGTCAGGCACACCTGGGTCCTGAATGAAACATGGAGAAGAGCCCTGGGACAAATGAAAGGGTAAGGGGACCACCCAAACATCTTTACTCAAGATCAGAACTGTCTCTGTGATTCATTTTCTACATCAAGCGCCCACCCCATAGTTAGTAAGATAATCAAAAGGAAATGCAAAGGAATAGCCTGAAATGGAAAACAAAGAAAGATGAGTGATGTAGTGTGGGGCCTGTGGCATAGAAACTGCACAGGAATCAGCCAAGCCTCCTCCAAGGAGCATAGCTCCTAGGAATAATAAGAGCAACTGTTCCTGATGGAGGTGACCGATGTCACAAACACTGGGCCAGGCCAATGTCACAAACACCCCCTTCTAACTCTCATGTCCCTCCTGTCCTCAGGGAGACACTAGTGGAGA